ATCTGAAAGGTTAGCTATTTTGCTAAAGAGACAGAAGCTGCTAAAAGTAAGAGGATCCTGCCAGTCAGTCATTTTCTTAACTGCCTTTTAAAACAGGATATCAGCTGGAGTGAGTAAAGCCTATCCCAGGTTTTTGCTCTTCACAACCACTCAACTCATCAACAATGCAAAAGATCCAAATACTTACAATACAACTATCTGGTTCACAAAGCCACAGCAGGAGGCATATATTTTTTCTGAAACAATGTTTAAACAATACAAAACTGCGACCACAGCATAATCTCCTCGGGGAATACTGTGTTGAAGAGCAACAAAAAACCAGAAGCAACATAAAATATAAAAGTGTATTTCAAAGGGAAAATAACATAAATAATTTCTACAGTATTACAGCTGGCTTTTTCATTTTGTGCGCTAACCAATGAAATATTGCTACACTTCTGTGAGTCATTCTTCTTGTTTGTTGAGTTTAGGTTGTGATCCTCTTCAGATGTTCTTCTAATGTCTGATTGACAGGACCCAGCTCTCCACTGAAGAAATATAATAATCTATCCAGATAAAGTCCATTTAGATTTTCAGCAAAGCTCAGTGTTGTTCATTTCTTCACCAGCTATGTGGTATTGATTTTATCAGTCAAAATACTCGTTTTTTTTTAAATGAGCAATTTACTTCTCAGAATCTAAAGCATATTTTTGTTAGGCTTTACCTGCTTTCCCCCCTTTTAAATGTATGAAATCTTCAAGCCTAAAGAACTTGTTTCATAGAGAGTCTATGAGAAAGCTTGCCAAGCACCCAGGTTACAAAATAAGAGCACCATTGGTGGATTTCCTTTTCAATTTGCACTTTGTCAACCAAATTAATATCTTAAATATCCTTTTTCAGCTTTTCTCTTCTAACCAAAGTGGAACCAAGAAGATCACAGCACCACTAAGAAGAGGGTTACTCAGTTCAATCTGACATAACTGACACATTATTCACCCAGTATAACCTAAGCAGTCCAGTTGCCTCTGTCAAAACATAGGCTCTATTCATGACTAATGTTTTTCTACGAGGATGACAGATTTTTCATCCAGTGCAACAGCGTTTTATCCAATCTGTTTTTCACGGTGTTTGACAGAAGCCATGAGTGTACATGATTATTTTAGCATCAGCAATATCTTCAACATCTAATTGCCTCACCTCTGCCTGCCTGCACTTCACAGCCACAGTAATCTCCCGTATTCCTTCTGTTTGGTTTTGTGAGTGAGAAGCAGCTGCGGGATGGGCGACATTTTAAATGACAAATACTACATCCTTTGATTAATTCAAAGGTAAATGTTATTCTGTTAATTACCACGGGGGTAAATTTGACCATGTATCAGTGATGGCAGCCTCTTCACAAAATGATACTGTCTTACACTAGAGTAAGACAGCATCTTGTATCCGCATTCTTTAAGACCCACATCAGTGCTTCTTGTCACTACCCTTCACTTCTGATCTAACTGTAAACACTTTACCCCCCATGTCACAGTTATTACTTAGTACCAGTTAACATTAGGGGTTTGATAAGTTCAAAATAACCAGTGCTGTAGTTGTAAAAATTACTGAGGAGGTAAAACACAGATAATCCCACCTGATGTGCTTATACTGTGCACGCACGCCTGCCAATCTGCCCATTGTGTCCATGGAAGCCCAGTAAAAAAAATTCCAGCTTTAGAGATGAATTCTTTATATTGATATGCAATATGCAAAAGTGGCTTCAGCAAAGGCTGTAAGCATCCGGGAGGGGTGGAAAAGAGATGACCAGTAAATGCAAACTAAGAGAAGCAGAGAGGTAAAAATGTTGCTTGCTGGCGACATTGTCCAGAGGTTGTGTAGCCTACTGTACATTGACCTTTGAGTGAACTGACTTTATCTCTTTGCATGGCAAGTTGATATTGGTAGCACCCTCGTCCACCACATAAACAGCAACCATTTTTGTTAATCTCCCTTGCATTAACATCACTGATAAAGGCTAATTGTTGAGGTGTTGGAGCTGTAGCACCAGCATCGCTCTTCTCTTCAGCAGGGCCTCACCAGTAATGTTAATGCTGAGCTTAGCTTGTAATGTTCAACATGTGAAGTCAGCAAAACAGCTGATAGAAAGCAGGCACAAGATAATGCATTACTTCTACTTCTACTTCTACAGTGTGAGGGCTATCCTCTTCATGAACTCACAAGCTAACTTTAACATATATATGATAAAACTGCAGTAAATGCAGATGTTTTTTTTTGTTCTTATCACAACTAAAGGAACAGGTAATGTGACATTTTAACTGACATGTATTTGAAATAAGGGCACCACAGTGGTTAGCACTGTTGCCTCACAGCAAGAAGGTTCTCAGTTCAATTCCGGGGTCTTTCTGTGTGGAGTTTGCATGTTCTCCCCGTGTTTGTGTGGGTTCTCCCCGAGTGCTCCGGCTTCCTCCCACAGTCCAAAGACATGTGGGGATAGGTTAATTGAAAAATCTAAATTGCCCATAGGTGTGAATGTGAGTGGTTTTCTGTCCCTGGGTGTACCCTGTCTCTCGCCCTATGACAGATGGGATAGCACCCCCCTCGACCCTGAAAAGGATAAGTGGAAGCGAATGGATGGATGTATTTGAAATATTAACTTAATCATGTTAGCTCATCAAAGTTACAACAAAGCCTTAGCTTGTTTTTAAGGCTTAAAGGAGCACATACTGGTCAGTGCTGAGCATGCCCTGGGAAGGTGTTTGACACTGGTAAACCATAACATCCTGTCACGCTGCACAACTTTGTGCCAGAAATAGTTTGTTTCTGAAGCTATCAGCGAGCTAACGAGCTGATCCCTCTTGGTGGCTGTGTTGCTATTCCCACTTTACCGAGATCACTTGTTCCCCCTGAGAAAAGAGTACACAAGAACCTCAAACAGACGCCACAATGAACAGTTAATCCTCGCGCGTCCATCAAGATGGAGCCTCTTCTGTGCCGGTGAAAAAAAAAGAATAGGATTTTTGTGCAATGTGTGCTGATGCCCCAAAATGAATTGTGTTAAATTCAACCCTTCTAACAGCAAGAAACACTTATCCCACCAGTCTTTTGTGTGTGGGTTGTGTAAGTGTGTGTGTGTATATGTCGAGAAAAGAAAATTAATTTTGAGGCTAAACAAGACACGGTAACCGTCTTTTTAATTGCATCTCGCTTTCTTAATGGCTGTCTATTCTGCTGAATGAAGGAGACACTGTGATTAGGCAGAGCAGAATTGGGATTGTTCCAAAATCAGATTCTAAAAATGTGCCTTTGTTTTGTTTGCTGTTCAGAGTTTCACAAGTGTGGTAATGTGAAATGAATACTGCAGTTTCTTTCTGCTTTATTATGTGACTAATTTTGCAACAAACTAGAAACATATCCTTAACTTCCACTGCAAAGGAATCAAGTTTGTTTTTTGTGCAATTACCCACTGCACTGTCAAAGTGACCTCTGGCTCTTTTGCCATTTACAGAGAACACAGTTTGCTGTAAACCTCAACAAGCTTTAACACACCATTTTCACATCTTAAAGATCCCAGGCAGAGAAGTGCAATAGACTCGAGGGTTTACCCGCCACTGGAAACCAGCACCGTTTGTTGTAAAACTGAATGACATGGTATGCCATATCAAAAAAAAAGTCTGGGAGTCTGATACCCTGCTGTAGCTTAAATAATTGATCACACTGACATTAAATCCATAGTGTCGGGTCAGTGAGTCAATGCTTCACTTTGTTAGCCAAAGAAATTTTCTTTCATTAATCAGATTCTGGATTGATCTTTTTTGGATGCAGAGAAATTTACAATGTACACTGAGTCCCCATAAACCCAGCAAACAGCAAAGGACCAGCACACAGTCATACAGAAACACCAAAGGCCTGAACCCAGTAACTAGAAGAAAAAAATAAATAAACAGCTTCATATGGACTCCTTTTATAAAGCGCTTGCTTATATGGGCATCTAAATTCAAATCACACGCCTCAAGAAGGAGTAACAAGCAACCCACAGTCTGTGCCTCATCTAACTGATCTTTTGACAGTTATCCAGCCCAATTAACTACACTATTTAGCGAAGCAAACCCAAAAGTGAGAGACTGTATTGCAGCGGTAAAAGGGGCGGTAACTGTATTCATGTGAAAACTAGAAACACCATCTTTCAAATCAGAGCCAAATGTGTATCACAGCGACCAGCCTTCGCTGTAAAAGATCTCCTCTTTTAATCATTCAAATGCACTTAGGTAGAATAATAAATGTGCAGCACAGCATCCTAAGCGACCCCACCTCGCCATCAGACACCCCGACCCCCCCCCCCCCCCCAGAGGGATTCCTGGACCGGGGTGGTCCTGAGGAATCCTCTCCTCGCTGTCCCAAGAGCCACATTCGTTGTACGCGACTCCCGTTTGATTAATTAGTCCGTTGTGCATCTATGCTCTGCTGTGTAAGCGCAACACTTCTGCACCAAGCGCGAATTCCTCTCCGGGACACACACACACACACACACACATACACACGATGTAGAAACGAGGCGCGCTTTCACGGTCAGCGAACATTTACGCACGGATGAAACTCGGTGATAGCCAACATCTCCGAGTGTTTTCCATATGTGTTTTTGCATTTCCAGCCAAAGACAATTAAATGCTTTTGTGTACTGGTGCGCGTGTGTGTGTGCTTGAGAGAGAGAGAGTGGGGTGGGGGTGGGGGTTCGTCCTGCGATCGTAAATGGCGCAACTTCTCATTTTTCCTGTCAAGTTGACACAGCTGGGCGCCCCGCTGACAGCAAACAGGCCAGTGGCCGATGTTTGAGGGAAGACTGCGCCAGTAGGAACCAACATTTAGCCGCTATCCCTATCATACAGTCCAACCACAAGAACCACATGAAAGCCTACTTGCACTGCGTGTACCAATAGTGAGCGTTCAAAGTACATAAAAATGGACCGCCTGCTCCATCTGAGGTCTTTTTTAAAAAACCCATCTAACAGCTTCAGGAGTCTCCTTACCTTAAAGCGGGTTTTCTGTGGACGTTTTCACTGAATGTTTTCTGCGTTTGAGTAACACAAATGCACGCCTATTCCACAGCTCGCCGATCGCTGTGTGGAGGAGAGAGTGAGGATGGAGAATCAGCAGGGAGGACGAGAGCTCTCTCTCTCTGTCTGTCTCTCTCTCTCTCACTCACTCACTCACTTTCTCTCACTGTCCCTCTCTCTCCCCTCTGAAATGTTACCGGCAACCGATTGGTCCAAGGGTTCCTTGGCGGCCCCTCTCCTCTGCTGTAGGAGGGGCCAAATAAAGCCACTGTCGGCCTATCCTACTAGGCTAAAATACTGCAGATTGATCAATCTCTCAAACCGTTCACCGATCTCTTTCTTCTTTCCTCATATATATATATATATATATATATATATATATATATATATATATATATATATATATACTCAGACTACATATATGCGACTTTTTTCCAGGCAACTTCTTTCGTTGCATTTGGTGTAATTTGAAAAGCATAGCGGGGCTTTACAGTGCTGTATCTCTTCGATTAGACACAGTGTTATGTCAACAAGGGCAGTAGTTAAAAATGGGCCACCCATGCTCACACAGCTTGTGTAAGAAATATTGCTTAAGAACACTCTTTGTTTTAATCTGTGGCCAAGATCACACCTGTGAGAGAGGTGTGCTGGAAACCTGTGACGTTTCCAGCAGCGTGTAAAAACCCACTCTGGATACGCCATCACGCCGAACACTTAACTTAGACGGCAGCTACTGTAAATGGGTCAGAGCCAGAGAGAGAGAGAGAGAGAGAGAGAGAGAGAGAGAGAGAGAGAGAGAGAGAGAGAGAGAGCAAAACAGTGGAAATAAAGACTCACTTTCAAAAAGGCCTCGGGGCCATTTCATGATTGCACGAGTGTTTTATTGCACGACTGAAAACTTAATGACCTAAATGTATCTTTCTCGTATTGTTTTCACTGGATCGGGCCCTCATCAGACACGTGGCGTGACGGGATGAAATATTTCATGTTAAATCTCATCCACGTAAAGCGCTGTTATATTAATTAAGCTGCTGGAAATGGCTGTGTACGCACTGTCAGTGTGTTTAGGAAAGAGAAGTCGGAGAGTCTTCCTCCTGCATACATGAAGAGAGAGCAGAAGCTCATCAGAACTCGCCTGCAGGGTTCATTAACAGCAGTGAGTTGTCCCCCCCCTTCTACAGCCATCATTTAATACAGTTTAAACACATGTGACAGTGTCCATTACATTTCCGGCAGCACACTCACTACCGTTTTATGTTGACAAACTTCTTTACTCATCATCATTCTTTTGAATAAGAAAGTTTTCTCTCTTTATTACCTGATGAATATTTATGATGCACACAGTAAGAACTGAGGTCAACTGTTTCACTGCATAGCTTGCTGCTGCTTTTCACCTACAGGCATCAGCAACGCGTTCCATATCCACGTTGCACTTTACTGCTGCTGCACTTTCAGCAACAATTAAGCGTCTGGAGCAAGCAGGGGAAACACAGTTTCAGAAGAACTGCACTTGTAACAAGTGTGTGTGACGTGTAACACCCCCCTTTTTGTTCTCCATAGCAGTGACATTTGTGGAGCAGCTCGGCTCCATCCGAAAGCCCTTTGGTTTCAGCACCATGGTCAGTGACGCTGATACAGGCCACTGTGTGAGACTGTCTGCATGTGCATGTGAGCACTTTTAACAGAAAACGTGCTGGCTGTCAGGATGAAAGCGTCAGGATGGGTAAAGATCGGAGATGGTTATTCTGCTTGGTGTTAAACCATGTTAAATCTCCAAACATGTGCTCACATCTGCCTTTGATTACTCTCTAAATATACATACATATGCTCCCACACACACCAGCTTCAACAGAAGGGCCTAGCTGTTGCAAAAATTCTCAAATACTCAACACGCAGCACTTGCCTCCAAGCTCTGCTACAAGCATGCCTTAACATTCATGTAAAATGTATAGAAATCCACCCTTCAGTGTGTTTACATATTTGCGACCTCCGCTTCTTCTCGTGCCGGTTGCATTCTCAGTCATGGCGCTTCAGTTTTTCCTGCACAGCAATATCAGTGAAGAGTCAGTAGCCTTGCTGTCTCAATGTAAGACAGCCTAATGAATATTTATTGGTTCATTGGGTCAAGGAGTAATATCTACATTTTCAACATGGCACAACATGCGCCTCTTCCACTCATGTATGTTGCGGGCATTCATCATCAGGGCGGAATCGTTTAGAGCACAGCCTTGCGCCACCTGCTTCACAGCCCCCCAGCAGATCTGTTTGTGTCTTCATTAGCACTTGTCTGAACTATGCTAAAGCCCGATGACAGAAGACCTTGACCTTGGCTCACAACAAACTGGTTCCATGTTGGCGTTGTAAAAGAATTCTTTATTTTTCTCTTGCAAACCAGCTGCTTTAAGAAGTTCTTGTGATTGAAACCCTGGATTGCATGATTACAGAAGAAATTGGAAATGTGATTTTCTGCAACAGAAACATCAGCTGGATTGTTATTTGGAAAACCCCAAGCCCCTCTTTAGGTATTTCCAAGGGCCTGAGAGTAGACGATGCAGGTATTCTTCATTTCTGCCATCTGCAGAAAAGAAATTCGAAGTCAGCGGCAAAAGCAGATACTAATCTTTCTTCTCTAAGGATCAAAATATCAGATTAAAATTAGCTTTGTACAACCATTCCCATATATCCCAGCAACATTTGAGTGTACGTCTATGCATCACAGAGAATAGCAGGCATCAAGCATTTTCCATTGTGGGAGTAAACAAGAGGAGGTTTTACGCATTTGTTGGAAAACTGGAACCAAGATGGAAAAATATGTGATTATTTTTTCCCTAGTAGCCAAGCTTGAAGGCAAAATGAAATGTGAATATTTAAAGGTAAAATTGAACATAAAAGTTATCTTTAGTGCTTTTATGTCAGGGGTGTGATGGTTAGCGCAATTCCCTCAAAGCAAGAAGGTCTTGGGTTCAAATCCACTATCCAGCCTTTCTGTGTGGAGTTCACATGTTCTCCCCATGTCTACATGGGTTCTCTCTGGGTACTCTGGCTTCCTCCCACAGTCCAAAGACATGCAGCTCTTCTCTCTCCCTAGCTGGCGTTGGGTCTGGATCGACTGCTGTGGGTGCCAATGGTTGTCGAATTTCCTTCACAACTCGTTGCCATGCATGGCGATCGTTGGCGATTGTCCTGGCCTCGTCGAGATTTATTCTGCCCTTGATGTCATCTTTGACCTGTTTTAGCCATGTTTTCTTCTGTGCCGTTCAGTGGATTATCAACTGGGTGGGTTGTTTACGCCAGAGGAGTTGATGTGGTAGTCTGCTCACATCCATTTGACACACATGACCAAACCATCGCAATCTGCGTATCTGCGTTTTTTAATTTGCCCATCGATTGGCAGTTGGTTGTCGCATCTCCGTCGGATGTCCTCGTTTCGAAGGCGGTCTCGAAGTGATACTTGTAATATCTGTCAAAGGCAGTGCATCTGGAAAACTCCGAGTTTGTTGAGGTCCACTTTGAGCACTGTCCACGTTTCGGATCCATAGAGTAGTATCGGGAGGATCAGCGTCCGGAAAAGGCGGATTTTGGTCAAGATGGAAATATTGGTTCACTTCCACAAGCACCACTTTAGAGAAGTGAATGCTGCAGTTGCTTGACCTATTCGACTGTGGCTCTCTGCCGTGGACGCGACCTTCCTTTGCTCGATCAGTGAGCCCAGGTATTTGAACTGCTGGACTTGCTCTATTTGGATACCGTTGAGGTAGACGTTGGCAGGCAACCCATCTGTTGTCAACACCTTCGTCTTGTCAGTGTTTATCTTCAAGCCATATGACCCGGCAGCACCTGCGATCTTATATTGAACGTCCGTGGCTTAGGCGTCATCCTCGGCCAACACACTGCTGTCATTTGCAAACATAAGATCTGTCACGGTGGCATTTTCATCAAACTGGACTCCGCGTCTGCCCCTGAAGACTTTCCTCATGATGGTGTTGACTACGATGTTGAAGAGCAGCAGTGAGGCGATGTCTCCCTGGCAGACTCCAGATGGTGAATTTAGTGAATTTAGTCGACAGCTCATTACGGATGCGTATTTGGCTGCATGATCCGTTGAAATTTTCCTGCAGGAGTTTAATGACTTTTGGTGGGATGTGCTCGGTCTCCAGCGCTATCCAAAGTGCTGGCCAATCGATGCAGTCCAATGTGGATTGAAAGTCAATAAAGATGATGACCATCCATTTCCCACATAGAATTTGCTCCTCCATCACCTGGAGAATGCTGAATATCTGGTCACAGCATCCACGGTGAGATCTGAAGCCAGCTTGCTCCTCACGGCTCATTTGTTCATGATGTTTCTGCAGGCGTGATTATATTACTTTCATGAAGACTTTTCCAACGATCGAGAGCAGACCGATGCCACAATAGTTTTGGCATTCTCGGTTGTCACCTTTTTTGAAGATTGGGATAATGATGGCTTTCTTCCGTTGTCTCAGAATCGTCCCCGTGCGCCAGATATTTTGCAGAAGAAGGTGCACTCATTGGAGAAGAACATCACCGCCAGCCTTAATTGATTCTGCAGTGATTGCATCCACACCAGGTGCTTTACCAGTCTTCAAAGTCTGGATGGCCATCTTCACCTCTGCCAGGGTCAGTTCATCATCGGACATCGGGGTCTCTGGTGCCTCGATGGGTGGCGGTTCTGCTGGTGGTCCTTGTGGCGGGGCGTGATTGTACAGTGTCTCGAAGAACTACTTCCGACGCTGTAGCTGCTCAGTCAATGATCGTACGAAGGTGCCATTGGCCTTTCGGATGTTGTCGTTTGTTGATTTGGTTTTTCCACTCAGGTGTCGGAGCGTTCGATAAATTGTGTGGTATTCGTGCTTTGAGGCTGCATCTTCCAAGTCAGCCGCTACTTGGTTCCAGTAAGCCTCACGTTCTTCCTTCATTCTGCATCGGACGTCATTGCTGAGCTAACAATATCGCTCAAAGTCGACCAGCTTCACACATTTTTGTTCATCTATCATATCGAGGCATTCATCGGATATCCATGGCTGTGTTTGGCGGCGTATGGGAGGG